AATTTATATTCCCCAAACTCGACTTCTTGACAATCCTCTAAACAGTGGTTAGCATATAATTGATTAATTAATATCAAATGTCAGGCGTCTTGATGGTTATCAATAGCCCTTTAGTTGACTTCAAACTTCACAGAGAGGAAGGAACATCCAATTGAAAAAGTCGAGAGGGGGGAACAGAAGAGTGTTTCAAAGATGTAAGAGACAAACACAAAAGTAGAACAAAGGTGAGGTGAGAACTGTGAAAATAGTCGAATATGACATACAGTGGGGTCATGGTAGTTTGAAGTCAACTGCCAGTCAATAGACTTTTTTGCCGTATGGGTACACGTTGCCCAGGCTGCACCACGTGGAGGTAAGTCTATCTCACACCCTGTGGTTAGCATATTGTTCCTAGTAAAGCAACACTTTTGTTTGGTTGAATTCACGGACGGACTTGAAGAATAGGTTGTTAATTGCTTGATTTTTTGATAACAATTTGATCATTTACTCTTAAAATTACATACATCTTTCGATTTGATAATTAGAGTGTATACAAGGAATCCCTAAAACCTAACAGAGTAACTGTCCAATTATTTTCTATTTCAAGGATGTACCAAGAAGCAATACAAAAGAAAAACAGATTTCCCACTTTTCAACAGCATAGTTTCGAAACATTACGATGGAAATTAACTAACTGATTTATCTCATCCAGTTCATTGGCGATAATTTCTTCACAATGCCTCTTTTCGGCTTCGAAGTCTCTCAGCGTTGTTTGTTCTTGAGACGCAATCTGTTGTGTTATAGAGAAAAATAAATTATCGTAATAGTATCAAAACAGATTCTATTTTAAGATAGTAAGTCAAAGTGGCGCCTTTACACGGAAAGTTTAAGCGCTCTGTGAGTGAATTTCGATTAGCACACCCTGTTTTGTACATTCTGTTTTAAATATATGCTCAGCGGCTGTAGTAAACATATTCGGTTGCTAATTGAGGCTTAGATGAATAAATAAGAGGCTACATTTGATGATGTGATCGATAAAATCATTTGAAATGATGCAGCCTATTAATGTATTCACAGAGTTATACTTGAATATACCATAATGATTGGATTAAACTGTCCGCTTAGGCACTTAAGACCTCAAATCAGCAAAGACTTCAACTTCAAGGTGTTTGACACTGACAACTTGCTTCAAGCCTTGTCTTAAACAAGAGCAGATAAAACTATAAACGGAGTGGCTTACAGTTCCACTAAAATTTGTGGGACACGTCTCGCATGCCTGCACGCCAAGATTGGGAGGTGCGACCGTACAAACAGTGACCAATCATTAACCTCTGTTTGTTTAACCTAATCCCCCATCCTGATCATGATTAAGCTTCCTGCGTGTACACTTTATCCGCAATATACATACTGAATAAACGTACTCCGTGCTACACGTTTGTTTCCTTTATAGCTGGGCTATAGCTTAGCTGGTTCTGGTAGTCTAGCTAGATGTTGGAGAATTCGCCATAGAGATTTCTGAATCGGTTAGGCTTTACTAAGGTAGCAATCCGCAACAAATTTCACTCGAAAAACCATTTCGTTTATTGCTGAAATCGTATCCATGATACTGCTTAGAGTGTGCTTTTATTAGAAAACAGAAAAGTTTTAAAAATTTTGTTTTTACCTGTTTGGCAATATCATCATAGAGGGCCTTCTTTTTGGTCAATTCCGCCAAGTATTCATTCATTTCCATTTCACGATCTTTAGCCTTTAACTCTTCTATCCAACACAGATCTTGCTCCTTTTCGTCCAACTAAATAATTATAAAAAATCGATGATCGCGTCAAAAATCGTTCCTTTTAAATAAATTAATCTTGTTCATCAGGTAAGTGCATACACTGACTTAAAGTTCTGGTGGACAAGTTTGGAGTCATTGCTTATTTATACTTATTTTATTTAAATAGAAAAAATAGTTTAATAGTGGAAATTTGATCTTCCATTGATGAAAAATCTACATGTTATTTTGTGCCTCTAAACAAATTAAAACCTCATCATTAATTGTCTTTTTTTCAACTTTATTAGACGTGAAATAACTCGTTAAAAGTGGGAAGAAAATTAAGTGGATTGGCAAGTGAACTGCTGTCTTTCCTAATTATTTTTTATTATTCAGAAAATTCAGAATTTTAACCTTACAGATGACATTGATAGCGGATTGCCACACGAATAAAACTTGACTTATCTCTTTGAAAAAGTATGTTGACATGGAACTTAGTCACTAAATACTGTTTTGATTACGCTGGTCCAATGATGACAGCGGATTATTGATTTGTTGTGAGGTGTCTGTACTCGTGACCTCATTTACTCCCTAATACGGCCAGTATCACATCCGTGCGTTTCAGAATGTTCTAGAACGCACGAAATTATCTAACCGAATAGGGTACTCTACATATTAGAAAAATCAATCAAAAAATGCGTTCTTTCGAACCGAGAAGAGAAGTGAACATCCGAAATCCTTTCTAAAGCTATATCCTCTCGTTTATAGGAATGTGCCCGATTGTCCGAATGGAATAAAATATGCCCTGTTAATTACTAAACAGGCATTATTATTCACATATATTTTTAATATTATCACTCGTGACTCTTTGAGTAAATGTTATTGAATAAAAGCCAAGAATGGTCATTAAAATCCCCCAAACGGGAGAACTTTTAAGATACCTCCTTCTTCTTACGACGTTGCTCATTTTCAATTATTTGAGAACGCTGTAAAATTCCAAAAGCTTGCCCACGGATTTTTCTGGAGAAATCCTGTATTTCTGATCTGAAATTTTAGGTGAATAGAAGTTGATATCACAAATTGGCAAAAATCATTATTTTTGTTGATAATTTTTTGTATGGACCTACTCATCTTCCGGAACTCTGCATGACAAGTGATCGGTTCCGCAGCTTGACTGTCCACTATTGACACATTTTGATGGGTTTGTTTTGGCCTTTTCGCATTTCAATATGTTTGCTAACTTGTTCTAAGTACAATTAAATCAATATAATTAAAAATATCATACTGTTACTAATATGTAAATTTCTCTCTTATAAATTACGTGGAGTTACCGAGATGGAAACAATTTTGAATATACAATCAGATTGAAACGTATTTTTTACTTTTTACAAGTCGAAACTTATACAAATAGATGTAGCCAGGTCTCCAATGCCTTGTCATATAAAAAATTTCCTTTGATCCCAGACGATCTGATTATAATTGGCTTCTACCTGTCTTCCTTGTCTTCTAATTCAATCTCCATTTAAACAATATTATTAAATTATGAGCTAATCAAAATGTATTTTCTGTGATATCTTTATTGATAGTTCTCCCCCGTAAGCTAAACTATCCAAAACACGCACTCAAAACCGACAAGAAAGTTCCTGCTGGAATATCTACCGCAATGGCGATAATTAACGAAGAAGACTAAACAATTTTACTGACAGGGGGTGTGCGATCGACTTACCTCCACGTGGTGCACCCTGGGCAACGCATACTTATACGGCAAAAAGGTCTATTAACCGGCAATTGATTTCTAACTTCAGACTATATGTCATATTCCACCACTTCCACAGTACTCGCCTTACCCTACTCTCGACCTTTGTATCTTTCTCTTTCACGTCTTTGATACACTCTTCTGTCCCCACCCCTCGACTTTCTGTTACTTTGATGTTCCTTCCCCCTGTCAAGCCCGGAGTCAGCTAAATGGCTAATGATAGCTACCAAAACGCCTGTCATTTGATATAAATAAATTTTTCTGACAGAATCCTATTCCCCTCTCATTTGCATAAACAAAGCAAGGATTAATTCGTCTGTTTTCATAGAGACTTCGAATGATCAGCTATATTTCAAAAAGGCAAAAAGTCATTTTAATCGATATGGAAACTAATTTAAGGCTCTATGAACCTGAAAATAATTCTGAAATATACTATTTTCCAAATGCGCTGTTATTTTCTTCTCTTATAACCACTAAATGCTTCCAAAAATTCACCTGTTCTTTTACTTGATGTCACGAC